GTTAACATCAAACAGTTGCACAGTTTATGTGTTAACATCAAACAGTTGCACAGTTTATGTGTTAACATCAAACAGTTGCACAGTTTATGTGTTAATATCAAACAGTTGTACAGTTTATGTGTTAACATCAAACATTTCTACAGTTTATGTGTTAATATCAAACAGTTGTACAGTTTATGTGTTAACATCAAACAGTTGCACAGTTTATGTGTTAACATCAAATATTTCTACAGTTTATGTGTTAAAATCAAACAGGTGTACAGTTTATGTGTTAACATCAAACAGTTTAGTACACATTTTAGATACTTATTCAGAGTGTGTTTGTAATGTAGCAGAAATATTATATAATGAATACATTATTTTGGTAGCCTTACCAGAGTAGCCGAGAGGACAGGAACATCTGTAACTATCTTCACTGGCAGCCATACATGTACCTCCATTTTGACAAGGCATACTGTTACAATGGTTGTCGGAACAATTTCCTATAAATTGATATAAAGCAGCTAAATGGAGCTGTAATATTTGTGCACATAAGGTATTAATATTTTATACATAGGTTATGAAACGGTTATTTGATTTATTTTCTAGCATGGATAATTTCATATTAGCTTCAATAAATTTGGGTTGGAACTAACAAGACCAAATTATCGAGTACAAAATAGGCTTAATGAGAGCTAAGCCTACTTTATGCTTATTAAGATGCATTAGCACGTTCTCTCGATAGATCAATACGGTAGTTTTTTTTTTCAAGAATTAGGTTTTGAAACAATAAAGAGACATAATTACCACACATCCAGAAAAAACAAGAACAACAACAAAAAAACAACAACCCACAAAACAACCAAGCAGCCTTGGATGATGTTGCACAAAAGGAAACTTCCAAGCTCAGGATGACAACACCTACTTAAACCACTTTAATTTTCAACTTTACTGAGTCTAATACTAAAATCAATAAATCAAATAAAAGATCCTGCTTTTAAAATACCAAGCACCCTCTTTGTTTATTAAGTATAATTGAATTTCGATGATAATTAAATAAGCAAAATAAAAAAGTCTTGATAAATTCTGCAACTTGAAATGGACCACGACTTTTTCTTACATATTATCACAAACACGGCATCTAATAAACTATATGATAAAATGGAAGTTCATTTTTGGGGGGAACCAAATTACCACAGAAAGGCGCTTATTATATTTTTTAGTTATAAGAAGACTTGGCACAAAAACATAAAAGTTATGAAAATTTGATGACACCTGTCATTTTCTCAGAGAATATACCGGCAGAAAGGGATAGTAATAGCAGTAGGTGAAATCTACATAAAGCATTTTCACACCATATAGAACACTAAATAATAGTTAAATTTATATTTAACACGGCTTAAATATTTTCAAATGTTCTTGAAAAATAATCGTTTAGTTTAATGATTTATTTTATCAGGAATAAAAGTTGTAATTGTTCTGTATTAGACCAGTTTTGTTTCAAAAGTTTTTGGGGTAAAAAGCTACAGACGCATTT